GTTGATTAGGTCATCTTGTAGACAAGCAACTTACCTTTCCTTTAATTCTCAGCAGCGAATTAATGACAACAGCAAGCAGAACAACCAGAGAAGGTGGAAACTGGCTAGCTTTCCAGATGAAGCACTACAACAACCAATGAAAAGAAAAAAAAAGCGTTTCGAGTTGAAAAAATCTACGCAACTTAAAATTAGAAAACATTGTTATTAAAAAACTTTTCATACCCAAAAACTCTTTCCCTTTTTGCTAGGGTATGTGTTTGACCCAAATATCTGCCTACGTTTCAGAATCTCATCGTCCCGCAAGTCTATGCCCTTTCTTAGGTCAGTCTTCAGGCGAGTGGATAAACCTCGAACCTTTGTATCATCAAATGGTAAATCCTGAGCATATAATTCATTGACACAAATAGAATGATCGATTAAAGAACCTACCCCATCAGCTTGAAGGCTACGAACTCCGACGAGCTCGTCCACTGTAATTCCAAACCCGCCATTAATTGAGATTGCTATTGAAACGACAACAGAAAGAGAAACCAAATCAATCCATTGTGAATTACTTAAAAATTCAAAACCAAGCAGGGCTGAGAAAACCACCAGAATTTAATTAACCAAACCCGCAAGCGGGGGTGGAATCGATCCGGATATCTGGAATTACAAGGTATCCAAATCCGGATCCGCAATCGTCAGATCCGTAAAAAAATTATCCGGATCTGGAATCGGAACCTTTGAATATCCGGCAAAAAAAAACGGATATCCGGATCCGGATCGGAATCCAAAATTAATATTAAAAATAATTAATAAATAAATAAAATTATATTTTTTAAAATTATTAATTAATATTTTAAATGATATTTTTCATTATTAATATAATTTATTATAAAAAAAAACTAAAATCAAATTTTATATAAAATTAGTTTAATAGATATATAATATATATGTTTTTAATATATTTAATGCGTCCGGATCCAGATCCGGATATCTGGACATTAAAATTTTGTTAGCCGGATCCGGATCCTCTTTTCACGGATCCTAAATTTTACTATCTTTATCCGGATTCAGATTTCCTGGATATCCTAATTTTCAGAGCGATTCCG